CACAGGATTCCCAAAATCGAACTCATCTCGAAAACGCGCTTGGCATGAAAGAAATGCAGTTATTAATTATAAATCTAACCACGAATTTACGTCTAAAGAGTGGTCAGCAATCACTGAGCTGAACTGTATGACGAAGTGAAGCGGCGGAGCGGGATTGCCGCTGAAAGTGTATGGACCAGATCCGAAAAACGGGACAAAGATAACTTTAAACAGAATTCCTTCACATTTTCATGCTTTTCGTATAATTCTGCGTGGATATGAACATTACTGGGTTTACCTCACATTTTGATTATTACATATGACAGTTCGTCATCACGTGAATCAAGACTCAAAAACATTTTTGCATATCAGCCAGAATTGCCTTACCTTTCGCCCATTATAGCGCTACCACACCAGAATTCAATTATGTGCTTGTTCACAAGACAATGGGACCGAGTGTAGACTCACTGTCAATTAGAACTAGCGGTTAGTAGAAGTTTCTAGTTTCTGCATATCGAAATTTCGAAACCCTCCTCTTATTCCGCTCCCTCAAAGAAGAATATTCTTGCACTCCGAAACCAGATGTATGGGTATGCTAACTTATTCATTTTCAAAGTACGCTTGACGAAACAACATGGTGTTTGCCCTACGTCACAAAAGATGATATCTGTGAAACCATAAGTTATTAAACTCGAATCTGTGAGAAATTTGGCGAAATTGATTTACGGGCTAGCGCAATTTAAATTTCTGCAAGCGTCGTTTTTCATATCATTTCCATTTATTTCTGTAAAGACGGTAAGCTAAATGATGTACAGACCATGTTAAAGAATGCATAGCAAGAACAATCCAAAAATAATGCATGAGGTAGTCGATTTCATTATTTTCAATGAAATATTTAACAGATAATAAGGCTCTAAATACTTCATAACATTTCTGATTCTGATCCAATTGATGAAGTCAGATGCGCTGTCGATTCATGTTTGAGGAAGCTGAACAACACAGATTTGGACACTTGTAGTACTTATACACCCAATGGCGTCGTCAGGGTTCAATTCGACAGTCAAACACTGATGATGATGGTATGCAGTTTTCACATGACAGTGTAAATTAAAACCGTTTGTGAATAGCCAAATAATAATTTTGATACTGTAGGCATGGGCGAAATGTTTTCAAGTTCAGGTTCAACGATCCATCGAATGGAAAACAATTTCTATGACATGGTCATTCATCAGTCTAGTAAGTTTCAGCGAGTCTAATACTGGACTCCAAAAACCTTATTTTTAGTAAATTCAAAAGGTAGAATTCATAATTGATTACTGGTCCAAGGTTGGGGGGACCGAGCGAATCCAGACAAAGATGATAGGAAAAAATACCCAGCACATTCCGCTACCTCACCAGCAGCAGCATCAGGAAGCAACATGATGCTACCGGTATGAAAGTGAAACGCTTTGGTAATTAAAAATTCACACCGTGTTTGCTTAGCTTCGTCTTGTGCCCTTAATCATGGATCAATAAATAATCTGCAGCTCCAACAATGGGTGAGGAGTCGAAAACGCGAGATCTTAAGGTTATGAAACAAACGCATATTTCGCCTAATATGCTACCCATTTTTAGAAAACTTTTCAGCCGTCCACTGATCAATATTCAATTGTTCGTTCTACTCTCTCCTATAATGATAGGACAATGACAGCATGCTTCTGCAGAAGACATGAGCTCATGTAATGTTACAGCAAAGCTATTGCTGAAGATCTCCACAGCTACGTTTCCAATGCACAAGACTGTGAGTTCCAACTGCTCAGTACAGTACGACTTTTAATAATCAGATGACAGCGCTTCTGTGGGCAAATGAATAAGTGATGAGTCGAGCAAGATGCAACGCACAGCATAATTCCTTAGGGAGGAACGCGTTCATTGACTTGAAGACCTGTTGAGCAGGAACTATCAATGAGGCTAAAATCACTGGCGGAAACTGCAAATACTTGATATGGTGCTGTATTTTGATCTGAGTCCATTAGACTGCGCCTTTTACCTTCAAGTTTATCGGTGCTCATATGGCCATAGAATTGGGATCAATCGGTAAGTATAACAAGCCGCCAATGACTACGAATTTTTCTGATGAAAGTGTATGCTTTATTTCCCAAGAAAATAAGAAATTATTATTTAAGCAGAGATCGTAAATGAGGAAATCACACTGGGAGAAGAGAGAAGCTGCTGTGCCAAATAACCGCCATGATCAGAGAAGAGAAACTTTATGCTCAGATGCACTCTAATCTGTCAACGATTGACCTCTCACCATTATCAGCAAAGCATTGCATTTCTACATCACTCATTGTCAAACGCTCAAACTGAGGTAATCTCATGAGAAGTCCTAACTCAACCTCACAACTCGACCTCAATAATTAGGATGACTCTGATCACGACTGAAGTCGAGCCAAAGTGATCAATTCGAGGTTTCACTTTCTATAAAATTTCTGAAGCTGTGACGGAAAGCTACTATAACTTATACGAAAACATTACATGGGCAATTTCATATATCTTCTTAGAAGTCATACGTTCTATAACAGTGTATGCATATCAAACTGTTGTAAAAACATCGATGAAAACGCCTGATCATGTTCTCAGAATAAGTAACAGTACTACACGTGAAGTACCTCTGGCGACCATCGTTTAATAGCTAATTAGCATTGATGATGAACGGGTTATGAGGCATAGCTCGTGAAATT